GCGGTGGAGCTGGGGCATGTCCAGGCCCACCACTTCCGCTCCCACCTTGACCAGGTGGTCCGCCTTGCCCACCACCTCCCCCGGGAGGAGGAGGAGGGGGCGGTCCAGCTTGAGCGCGTTCATGCCGAATATTGCAGCGTGCACATCGCTCAAGGCCGTCATTTCCGAAGTAACTGTGATTCTCACAGACGTGAGTCCCACAATCCGTACAGAGATACATGGAGACCTCCTGAGCATTCTTGCGGCATGCCCAGCATTTCATCTTCAGGAACTGACAATTGCAACAGTCCCCGTCGTCACCACGGCAAAGCCCGCAGAACTCACGACTGCATGTCACACACGAGAATTCAGCATTCGGGTGCCTACGGTCGTTGGGATCATCGAGGGCACAAATCTTTGGCGCGTCTGGGCCAGCACCGCCGGGAGCCCCTCTTGCAGCCGGCGCTGAGGCCTGTCCACGATCCGAAGGAGCTCCAGCAGTCCCTCGCCTATCGCCGGGACTCTGGGTGTCGGCGCTGACTCTGCTCCCAGGAGTCCTCCACTCATCACCAGGACTCTGGATGTCGGCATGGACCCTATTATCCCCACCACCTCCTGAATGACGACCTGGGTTCGGAGAGACGTTCCCGCTATCGCGGATTGGCCTATCAAAATTCGGAGAGACGCTCCCGCTATCGCGGATCGGCCTCTCCCCCCTCGGTTGTCGACTCCGGACCTCAGATCCCCTATCGGGGACGGCAGCAGGCCTCGGGCTCCTATTCCTACCCGCATCCCTATTGGGGGAAATAGAAACGTCCCCCCTTGCGCGCGCGCGGGGACCACCCCTTGCACGCTCCGGTGGCGAATGCGACCTGTCAGGCAACCCCCGAACCCTCCTGCTCCTGCTGTCGGACGGATAGATGGGATGCCTGTCTGCGCGAGAAGGATCGACCCTATCGGGCACATTCGGCAAAACATGATCAGGCAAAACAACGCCTCCGCCTGGCCTCACCGGCAGGCCAGTTCCCCGGCCGTCACCTTCCCCTGGTGTAGGCGTCGGTGACCTGATCCTATGTCCTTGCCCCGCAAATGCATGGTAACCAACATTCCGTCTTTCTCTGGGTTGTGGAGGAGCTTCATTAATCTGCTGGACACCCTGAATAATGCCAGCAGCCTCGTCAAATTGACCCTCCATCTCAAAGAGCTGGGACATGATTCTGTTGTTCGCGGCGCTAAGGTTACGTACGTTACCATCGATAGCGCTGACTCTCCGCATAACACCTTCAAGTGTACTCCGGAATGTGCCGAGCTCTCGCCTAACGGCAGGCTGCACTTGGTCACTGCCGGCAGGAAGATTACGGATCTGTCCTTGGATGCCATCAACGACCCGATTCACAACTGCCGATCTCGCTTCATACTGTTCAACATGTGACTTCACGGTTTCAAATCTAGAAATGATGTCGTCATGATCCCGACGTTGACGTTGAATTCCACGAGCGAGATCCTGCATCTTCCGATTGATCTCGTCAACAGCCTCATGCCAGTCCTGCGGGGAATCATGCCCTGATGGTCTATCGACCTCCTGAGAACCCCTTCCACTCTGCAGTCTAGACACTCGATTAACAAGACGAGTGTGCTCTTCTTTGACCCCTTCAATAGATTCAGAGGCCCACTTGGCAAACGTCTCGTGATCAAGGAGAGCTTTCTCGATCTTCAGGTTTAACTCCCTGAAATTTGCATCGACTACACTGCCGCTGGCCCTATCGGACGGATGCGCGACAGGATTCGGGTTCCATACACCTGCCGGTGTCCGCATCCCAACGGTTTTCTCTACCGAGAACATCCGTTTCTCAAGCTTGTCCAAATCCTTAAGGATCTCGTCCTCAGAAGCAGCATGGCTTCTGCGGGCAGCCTCACTATTCTCCTGAATCATCAGGCGAAGCCGATCAGTCGATGCCTCATTGTCCCTGACAGATTCATGGACCTCGTGGGACAGTAGGTTAATCCTCTGCTCCACGACCTCGGCTTGCTCATCGATGGCTTGCCTCACAACGGCCTTGCTATCGGGAATAACTTCCCTTGCGAACCGTTGAACTATCATTCGCATCCTCCCGGCATCAGATTGAGTCGCAACCTCAGCTGCCAGTCGATCGACCTTGTCCTTCGTCTGTTGATTCTCGTCTCTCCATTCCCTTCGCATGGAACTCACTTGACCGTTCAGTAACCTGATCTGGTCAGCAAAAATATGGAAAGCTTTCGCAACTGAGCCAGAAACCTCACCTCTCTCGAGCATCTCCTGGATGTGCAAATCGAACACCTCCTTTGCCCTAGCGTCACCTGATTCACCGGAAGAATGAGACCTGAGTGCTGGAGGAGTCGATATCTCGATCCTCTCAGGAGCCCCACTAGCTCTAGCATATCTTCTGGGGTCATCCACAGGACTATCACCAACCCCAGATGGCCTGCTAGGGGTAGAACCCCTTCTACGGCTATCGCCGGAACGGGGATCAACATGGGACGCACGAGACTCGGGAGTAGAGTGGATGTGAACATCAGCAGGATCAGGCATCTCCTCATCCTGCGGAGTTGAGTCCATTGGTGAGGGGCTAGCCCTCCTCGCCTTCGACCTATCGGTCTCAATGGCCAGGGGTGACGGTCTCTTCGCAGAAGCACTACGTTCCCTGGCGGTCGAGCCCCATTGAGGTGTGAACTCGTTGCTGGACCTTAGCGTTTCAAGGTCACTGGTATCTCGCCCTAACGGGCTAGCGATCGACGGACGATCCTCGATTCCGAGTGCATCGGCAAGCCGGCCATCTCTTGCACCTCTCCCAACGACATCGGCAACCCGCTCAGTGATTCTCGGCGAACCAGTAACCCGGTTCGAGTTCACGTCTCTTTGATTTAACGGACCTCCAAACGTAATGTTGGGAAAAGGGGGAACATTCGGGGTATCACCAATCGCCGGGGGACCTACCGGTCCCTCACGGTCATGGATAGCCGCCAATCCCCGAAGAACTTCCCGACTGTCCCTGGCTCTCTCTCTCTCGCTTCGGGCATCCCTGTCAACGCGAAGGTCCCTGGCGGCTCCACGAGAGAGGCTCCTGGGCCTCGCAGCATCACGGATCCTAGCATTTCGTCGTGGTTGGTCCTCCTCCTCATCACGGCGATCCGCAAATGCGGCATACTCGTCATCATCATCGACCTCAAATCGAGTCCTTGCAGTCGCACGGCTGCCTGCATTTCGGCGCGAATGGCTCTCCTCCTCATCCGCAAAATTGTAACCTTCGCCATCATAAGACTCAGATTTGGCAGTATTAGGGTTGGGCCTACCGGCATCAGATCCCTGCTTTGAGCTACTGCCCCAACCTGCGGTTGATTTCAACAGATCATCGTATCCGAAGTCTGAGAACTTCCGCTCCTCGTGCTCATCAAACTGACCTGGATTCTGAGAACCAGTGGATCGGCCCGGGATACCTCCCGGAACCAGAACCATAGTCCCTGGTCCCTGCGGCCTACTCTCAAACTCATCCGAGACCTGCGACTCACCTGGAACAAGAGATCTCGGAGGTCGAATCGGCATGGCCTCCGGGTCATCCGAATGAGGGCGGGCCATGTCCATCGCCATGCTGGTGAAGTCAAAATGTCCACGCCTGTGACCTGATTCAGAGCCACTCCTACCGGAGTAAACCCTTCGTGTCTGCTCGTCATCAGTGGCCTGGCGGAAAATACGATCGTCTCCATCGTCGGCGTACCTGCCACGGCCCCTGGGTGTATCCCTACCGGGATCTTCACCCCTGCGGTCCTGACCTGTCGAACCTGCTTCGAAATCCTCGTAGTCATAGTCCGGTAGGTCCTCACCTGAGCGGAGGCCCCTAGGATGGCCTCCTCATCCACGACGCTCCTTCGAGATCGTGGGGTCGACATAGAGCTTGTAGTTGATGGTCTCAAGCGCGTAGGAAAGTCCTACGGCTGATAACCTGTGATTCGGGCACGAGCCTGTGCCCAGGCAATGGGTAAGTTGGGGTAAACAAGCCACAAAAGAAAGGTTCCCCAAAAGCAAACCAATCCCCGGTCCCAAAGATCAGGGTTTCCCACACACCAGAGAACAACAACCAAAAGGGAAAATAACCAAAGTAGAAAGGATACCCGCAACCTAGATCGACGATGAACCGCACGGGCGATCCCCACCAACCTACCCCGGGCCGAAGTCTCTTTCTCCTCCGACACGAAGGCGGTCGACGTGAGGGCCCGGCGACGCTCATCCGAGGCGCGCCGGATCCAAAACTTGAGCCAAAACACCACAGGTCGGTCACTAACGCGACGTTCCTGATGATGATATGAACCATGGCTAATCACAAAGTGCTTAAAAGCGCGTTCTAGGCTCCAAGTTGGCAGGCATGCGGATCGGCTTCTCAGTGACTTCTCGGACAGTTGCTGCTCGGGGCTTGAGGCTGCAGGGGCAAAGCCAAAGTATCGTTGATTGTGATCAGTGGCCCGTGTTTCTTGCATGTCTGATTGCTGGCTAATGCTGGCTAACTGGGAAGCCGCAAGTCTGGAATGCAACTTGAAGCCAGTTAGAACGCTTGAGCAGCCCATCCCCACGATACCCAGGAAAAGACAACCAGGGACCATAGGACCAGCCTGCAACCACCAGAATGCGAGCCAACTTCAGGCAACCTCCGCATGATCACGAGAGAAAGACAAACAAGACCGGAGCACCAGCTTGCCACGACCAGCATGCGTGCAGGTAAACATGACATTGATCTGGCACGCCAAAACCAACTTCAGGAGCCCTCTAGACAAGGCCTCCAAACGGAAGTGGAAAGTGCAAACAAGTGCCCAAGCACTATAGCGCAAGTGTCAGCCCTGGAACATTCGAAAGGCTTGCCTCTCAAAGTTGGCCATTCACCGGCTTGAAGGCCAAGCAAAAATCAAAGATGATGCGCCTGCCCCTTGGGATGGCTGAGGGGGGGGAGACAGGTGCTGAAGCCCAGCCATGCAGCCCCCCTCTGGCAAGATGCTGAGGAGGTTAGCTGGGTGGAAGACCGAAGACAGCGGCTTCACCGGGTGCATTCGATCCAGGGGCCTCGGTCAACATGCAAACGCATGTTGCATCTTCATCCAACAGAACCTCCCTACAAGCATGCAACCCACAAATGCCCAGTTCAAATCACTGCTAGTTTCCAGGAAATGCTTTGCGTCTTGGTGTCCACATGAGGCCTGATGCCAAAAGATTCTGACAACAAAGCACACAGAAAGCAATATCCCGTGATTGACTGGTGCACGGAAAACAGATCACATCCAATCCACCGTCCTTGTGGGATAACATTGCGCATTGGAAGACAACAACATCAAACAAGAAAACAAACAACAACAATTAGTCTGTGTGAAACACTGCAGCCATCAGTACGAGTTGCAAGCTGCATTTTCTGAACAAGCAAAGAAGCTGTTGGATTTGATTCCTCAGTCGTGTTGGTGGTGTCTTGGTGGCTTTTGGTGAGGTGTTACGAGGTGTCTGTTCACATGTAATTCTTCGGGACCGGGCTCAATTCCTCCCGCCTCACCCGCGTATGCATCTTTCTGGAAATGGCGGGGGGGGGGGGGGTTCAGGTCCTGCAGGGGCGTCACCTCGCAGGTGCTCTCTCCTTTTAGTCAAGGAGAATCAACGGAAACCTTCTGGGATCTTCCCTGTCTGATGCTTCCAAGAGATCCATGCTCTTCTTTTCCCTGCTCATGGTTACTGGTCAGTGGGGCACCCACTTGCACCGGTTTCAACTGGAAGCCGGCCGACCCTTCGCCGAACCCCGAACCCGGCCTGGCGAAGGAGAAGGCCAAGGACGCGACGCCCAGCATGGTACCTGACGCGCGGCAACATCCCCCGCGCCGGGCTCGGTGGTTTGCCACACTTCCCCCTGACTCAAAGCAGCTCAGCTCTCAAACTTAGACACCCTGACCCTTGTGAGGTTCCAACTGCAGCAAGGCTTCACGAAGCTTCGGGTCTTTGGCCAACGACTTGATTGCTTCGTTGCCACGTACAGTACCATTACGAGTTTTCTTGGTGGTGCACCCCGATTAAACACTGTTTATGTAGCGCAAGCGACACACACTCACACACACACGCACAATTTCAAGTGTTGCATCGAATGACACCGGCAAATCACAGGCCATCGGACAATACCAGGCGAGACATCTTTCAGCCGAGGCGCCGCTTGCCATCATCTGAGGCTCTGATGGCCTAGTGCCATCCACGGACATGGTGGACATGGTGTAGGCTGCGATCATGGACTCTAGCATCATGATCTGCATCCTGAGCCGGCGTTGCGGCTAGACACATGATGCCACGCAAAAACTGCCGCACCCTGTGATGTTGTCTTTGTGGCATCCGGTTTCAGCATCCTTGTCTTGCTACATCAGCCAGGGGCTCACACAAGGGAGAGTCATGGACAACAATGTTAAGCTTGGCAGGTAGGGAATGGCATGGCTGCCGGAAACTGTGGCGTGGTCCGTTGCTGCTCGCATGTTTCTGCTTCTACCAATGGATTGATTGGAATCAGCCGCCTTTTCAAGCAGACCATCAAGAAAACGCATGTGAAACACAAACAATCAGCAAAAAGTTTGAAGCTCTGGTTGTCAAAAACAACTATGAAATGCGCGCAACCATCACATATACAGCAAAAAAAACAACGGAGGCATACGGGATGCGCACACACACACACACACGCATGCCAATGTGCACATATCACCAACGTTGGCCCTGGTTCTTCGTCTCACCCAGTACCACAGTTGACTCGAGTAAGCCCTCTGGGCGCTGTCTTGCAGCTGCGTCGCTGCTGCACGGCACTCAACAACGTACATCGGCCCTGCCGTGTGAAGCGCGGAGGATTAAGGGGTGCACAGGCATTTGGCTGTGGGTCAAAAATAAGTACCCAAAATGGTTCTGGTAAATGGAAACAATGCCAGGCCCATACCCATTTGAACCCGATACCAAATGTCTACCCTTGTCAAATTGGCAACGTTTTGCTTTGTCCAACTACGCCGCTTGCACTACAGGTCAGCAACGGCTTTATCTAGGCAATTTACAATAAATCTTACCTCGTCACCTCGTTGTTAAATAAGGTTTTGGAGTGTGCGCCTCGCCTCGTTAAATCCGTGGTCACCTCGTCACCTCGTCACCTCGTTAAATCCCTCGTCACATCGTAACTTTGTAGTACAAGTCTAGCACGCGGATAGTTGCCTAAAGTGCTGAAAAACTTCTCAGGCTCCGAAAAGCTTATTTTGCGCTTTGGCAGCCCCGAGCCTTCCAACACCAATGCCACGTTCCAGTACACTTCCACAGCTCCAGCTCGAAAAATCAATTTTGTAGCACAAACCTAGTGCAAGAAGCGCGCTTCCACGACTCGTTTACAAGCCAAGTACAAAAAAGTACGCTTCCGCAGCTCCAGCGCGAAAATCACAATTTTGTAGTACGAGTCCAGAACGCGGATAGCCGTTGAAGGCGCTGAAAAACTTTTCAAGCTCCGAAAAGTTTACTTTGCACGTTTGCGGCCGCTAGCTGCCTGCAGGGTCGCTTATTTCCCATTCTGAGGGCTGGCAGCCCCAGATAGCTGCCTGGAGTGCTGAAAAACAACTTTACAAGCCCTGCAAAGCTTATTTTGCGCTTTGGCAGCCCCAAGCTTGCCAACAACAACGCCGCGTCCCAGTACAAGTGCGCTACAGGAAACTTTGGCAGCTCGCAAACACCAATACGGTGTCCTAGTACAAGTCTGCTATATACATGGAATACAATATGCAATACAGTATGGTTCATTAAATTGAGCTCTCAAAACTATTCATTTTTCCGCCGCTATGCCGTTTCCAGAAATTTCGTTCCGTTTGTTCCCCACTCCAAACACACCTTGGAAAGGATCCTTTGCATTTCCGGTTGCCGCTGGATCCCAAATGACAGCAATGTCAGAATATCTTTCCATGTGACCCTGGCCAAAGGCAAGTGGCTGGCCTTTGTTGTGTCAAAGGCTTTGCTGAGGGGTTGCGGGAAACAATGAGACTAGGGGTGCTCTGGGAAGGCTACGGGAAGGCTACGGGAAGGCTACGGGAAGGCTACGGGAAGGCTACGGGAAGGCTACGGGAAGACTATGAGAAAAACACTTTGCAGGGCCCAACAAGTTCTTTTCCCCAACAATCACGTCTGACAGCATAAAATAACTTTTTAGCCCCTGAAAAGTGTTTTTCCTGCTGTGGGACCCTCTCCTGCTGCATCTACGTGTGCACCTCGTTGTTCTGAATTTAGTTAAATCACCTCGCTTAAAATATTTGCTCCACCTCGCACCTCGGCTGACCTCGCTCTAAATTGCCTAGCTTTATGTTGTGATTGGTCCCCACCTCCGATAAGCAGAAGCGAGCAAGTGATTTGACCACAAACTAGTGCCACTAAGTAGCACCGGCGAGTTGCCTATAACCAACGAGTGGTTATTAGTCGCTTGTCATTGGTTGTTCTGAGATGTAAAGAGATGCGACTGGGGAAGGGAGCAGACCACTGCCAGTTCAGGCTGACTTTTGGGGACCGCTCACGCCGGCAAACAGAAGCGTCTGGACGTTTTGGCAAGCAAAGGCCAGCTTGAAGGACCGGTTGTCACTCGCTACATTTGAAAAGCTAAGCCAAACCAGAAAGCAAACTTGGCTGCCTCTTGCAAACGCGCCTGGCGAATGATGTCCACCACCGAGCCAATGGATGGCGTCCGCGTCGTGAATGGAGCAGCAGTGGACGCATCGCCCAGCTGCACCATGGGCGTGTCCTCCATGGAGTCTAAGCCTGCGCAAACCCGACTGTTTCCTGCGTTATGTTCACCCTTGTCGGACCACTGGCTCGAAATGGGGGGATGTCCCCTAATCTGCCGCAACTTGCAGCGGGATGCCACTGCAATAAGGCATCTGGCACAAGGATTCAGGATTGATCTGGAACGAACCAGTTTCGCACTAGTGCTGAGGCCGCTTCGGAAGGGTTGGCCCACCTGGGAAAATGATCAAACTGCACAAACCCGTTGGCTTGTGAATCATTGCAAGCCATTGCAAGGCATTGCGAGGCATCTGGCCTTCCGCCCATTTGGCGGCGCTGTCTGCAAAGCCGCTGCCATGCTTCTTCTGCTGCATCTCCTGCTCCTGCAACCGCCATGCTCCCAGCAAGTCAGGCCATGGCCTGTCATTCAGCCCAGAACAGAATCCAGCAGGAAGCACATTGGCCATGCACATTCGTTGCGCAATGCGCAAGGACACGCCACACACACACAGACACACAGAGACACACGCAAACCTGTGCGCACCGGTCGGTGCCGACCCCGACCACTGTCCTTCTTCATCTCTGACTGGAGGCGGCCCATGACAGTTTTCATGGCCCCGAACTGGGCCATGACGCCTGTGTCCTCCCCATTCTGACGGCGCTTCTCCAGCTCCTCCTGGATCCACTCCTGCTGCTTGGAGACCAGGTCCTCGGGTGCGGGGGCCGGCATGTCTTGACTCAATTGGTTTGGCTTGGATTCGGACAGGTTGGGTTGGGTTGCGTGGCTGTCAGAAGTGGGAAGCAGGGTCAAAAAGGCCCTCAATGACCGGGCTACAAGAACCAAACACAGGGCTGATGGGATGCCAGGAAAAGATCCGCCTTCAGGCAAGTGAATTGCAAGAACCTGTCTTGGCAAACTCAATGCTAGAGATGGCCTGGTTGCAACCCACTTGCACGGTGAGCTTGCAGGATAACAGCGCACAGGATTTTGCTGGGGAGAGAGAGGTCCCTGCCTTCTGTTTCCTCGCCATCTCGACTTTGGACTTCCTCAGCTCATCAAACGCCGGACAAGCTGATGCATAGATTCAGGAAATTGCCCACCGGAAAGCGGCATTCGCGCTGATTTGTGATGGTTGTTGCATCATGCAGCATCTTGAAAAACAGGTAGGCAGGAAACACGGGGCGTCAAGGAGGGCTGACATTCCATGACATCTTGAAATGGAACCCCTGCTCTTGACAATGCATTCACATTTTGCCGTAAGGTGCCCCGTGACTGCCAATTGCCACGACAAGAGTCTGCATAATTTCTTGAGCCTTCTGCTGGTTCTCTTTTCTCACTCTCTCCAGTTCATCTTCCGCCTTGCCGCTCAATTGCTTCTCCTGGCCAAGCCCCAAGCAAGCTCACTGAACAGATGTGTCAACAAGTTTGCCCAACGAAGCTTGGCTGGGAGCCATGCTGCCGGTTTCAGTGGCCCTCTTCTGGCTGAGTAGCTTTAAAAGGAAACCAATGAAACGAGAAAACATAATTCTCACATCTGGACCAGCTGAAAGGCAAAAGAGACGGAGACTCAACAAGACAAAAGCAAGCACCTTCCAGTTGTCATAGTCGATGCAAACAAAGGATAGGCCTTGCATAAGACCCTGAGCACATTTCCCCTTCCTATGTTTTTCCTTGTCTAGTTTCCTGTCTTTCATGAGGCTTTTATTTCTGTATCCAAGCAAAAGTAAGGGAAAGGAAGAGAAAAGATGCCATAAGATAGTAATCTACCTTCATCTTTCATTCCCATTATTCACTCTCACCTGTGTATCCCTTGCGTAAATACAGCGTCAAGTCTGAGAATCAATGTCCCGCTCTCCCAAACTACTTTAAAAAAAGAAGAAGGAAAAAACAAAAAAAAGGGGAGCTCCACAACCAGGAGCGCCTTCCCTTCAAAACCGACCCCCCCCCAAAAAAAAAAGAAAAGGGGGAGCTCCTTAACAAAAAGGGGAGCGTCATCCCTTCAAAAGCAACCCCCAAAAAGGGTAACGGCGTTGCCATAGGTGTCCTTTTAGGGCAATTAGATGGCCCTGGTAGATGATTAAAGCACCAGGTAAACCAGGAATCGCCATCTATCTTTCTACCAAAACAACAAACATGAATCAATCTTCTCCCGCCCCCCCAAACCCCCCCCAAAAAAAAAAACTGAAAAAGTGGGGGGGGGGGGTCGTTAAAGCCCCCCCCGGCGTCGTTGCTGGGTCCTCCGAGCCGCCCTTGGCCCCCACGTTTGCCGTGCCGAAGCCGCTGAGCAGCGCCAGGCCCACGTCCGCCTCCTTCAGCGCGCCCACGTCGTTGCCCCCGTCCCCGCACATGAAGGAGTAGGTCTGCTCGTACTTCCGCACCGCCTTTCTACCGGGAGGGTGGAGTTTCTCCGGAGGAAAAAAGAAACAGACATGGGGCAAGCGGATTTCGGATTTGTCTGGGATAAATCCAAAATATATGACGATGAGGTGGCCTATCTGGCACCCAGTTATGTGATATGTGGCTTTGGCCCCCCCCAAAAAAAGGAAGCAAAGGGCCACATGATGCAACACGTTGCAACAACTCGAACATCTGCGAAGTCGCCTGGGACATGACTCACTCGCCTATTGCCCATCCGGCAAATTCAACGATTGCGCAATTCCTCTTTGCCGGCGACGAGAAGGGCTGTGAAAGGTGCCACTGAAGAAACGGACCACTTTGAGTTCATTGCTAAGCGTGGCCCAAACTGTCAGGCCTGAATGATCTGCTCCTTTTGGAAAGGTGACAGCCTTGCAAAGATCTTCACGACGGTGAGCTGCGATTGCATCTCCTGTCACATAAAAAAGAGGCGTCAGAAAATCTCAAACTCACAAACAATGACTTTGGTTGTGTATCAAAGGGTCGCAGCACCTGGCTACGAGCTGGTGGTGTTGACAGAAAACTGGCGGCCTTTTATTTCGGGGGCGGCCGCAGCATTGTTCAAAATTGGATTTGCCAATGTTCGGGAAACAGACCAGGCAAGCCAGGGCAAGTGAGCAACACCGATGCCCAAACCGCGCTGCCCAAACAAGAGAGTAGACCGATGAATGAAAATGCTACACTTTCTGGAAGACAGGCGGCAAACCCCACACTTTCTGCACATGTGTCATGTGACAGTACAACTATGGATATATGTTGCCATTCGAACAAAAGCATGCATCCGTTGGCATCAGCTTTCGTCTTGACAGCCAAGCCCATCCGCAGCTCCTGTCCGTCAGGCCTTTGCCAAGCCTTTTCCAAAGGAGCGCCTGTCATGATGAGGTCGTGACTCTTGCTCAGCTCCCGCAGGCCTAAGGCCAGACGCTTAGAGAAGCGAAAGGGGCAAGCAACAGTCTAGCTGGTTTGGGAGCGTGCTGTGGGAGGCTGCTCACTTCAGTGTGAGCACATTGCATCCTCACACTTGCTGCGCACTTGAGCCTAGTCTGCACCGGTCGCTGATGTTCTCAGATTGCTCTCAACTCCCAAAGTTTCTGCTTGAGATTTCCATGTTGATGACCGAACGGTTCCTGGCAGCCATGGCATCACGTGAGCCAAAGCTAACACGCAGGAATCGGATCGCTTGAGAGGCACACGCACCTTCGTCACTTTTTGTGCTTGCGACATGAGCTCGCAAAAAGCAATGCAAAATCCGATTTTTGAATTGATCTCCTCCTCATGGGCCAGCCTGGAACGGTCGTATATTTCTAAGGATTGATTTCCCACTCTCTTTATCCATGCTCCTCTTCAGAAATTCTTTCAAGACGAGGATCCCCTAAAGAATGGGGAATGGGCCAGGTAGCACAATCTGCATTGATGTGATACTGTCAGCATGCCATACTGCAGAAGTCTATTTCCGCAGCTCCATGTAGTTCCGAGAAACAAATCCCAAGTCTTAAGCGCCTCACAACTCGCTGGCTTGGGCCTGCCTGCTAAACAAGCAACCGATGCGTTCCTGGTTCATCCTGCCCTAGCGGTCGCAAGAAAGTCAGAGCCAGCATCCTTGGATCCTATGACTGGATGCTCAACGCAACTTGCTCAAGGATAGCTCCAAACCGGTGCGGTCCACAACCCAGCGGGCCCCACCCACCACTCCCGGCCTGTGACGGAGTACTCCACCGGCTTCGCCTTGGAGTCCGAGATGGCGGGGCGCCACTCCAAGCCGTCCTTCGCCTCAGCCAGGACCATGGCCTTCTCCGGCTCCAGCCGGGCAATGCCCACCTGCAAGTGGGGTGTCCGTCTTTTTAGCAGCGATATTTGTTCGTTTGTTTGTTTGTCTTCTTAGCAGTGTTTGTTTGTTTCTTCTGTCTTGTGCTTGGAAAAAACGACCCTGAGGAGGCTCTTGGCAGTGGGCATGTTCATGGCCGGCCTCCACAGCGACGCTGAGGGCCGTGAGTGGCGCATCTCCCGTCAACCTGAGCCAAGCGGCTGGCCCTCCCGTGACATATCCCGTGTGCATGTTTACAGGAATGCCGTGACAGCCAGCATTCCTGGTCTGGAGCCCTTGAAGCCCTGTACTGTCATAGGACAGCCGGTTTTGTCTTATCAGGCCGCAATTCGCAGCGCAAAGCGATGAGGCTGTGCCTGGCCATGCGCTGGGGTGTGAAATCCAACAGCCAGGCTGCATGACGCAGGAGTGGGAGGAGTCCTGCAGGGACCTGATCACCAGCATGGAGTCCTACGGTTTGGGCCATCGACCACCTGCAAAGGTGGGTCCTTCAACCACCTGAAAAACAAATCGTCTCGAGATGTCTCGAGAATCATGAAATTCCTTGGCTCCGCACCACCCATTTTGGTCTATTTTAGTGGGGATTGGGATGTTTGACCCATGGCCATACCGCGAAAAAGTGGAAGAAAGCCGGTCCTTCCGCGTCTCGCACTTGAAGGCGATGAAGCCCGCGAAGCTAAGGTTTCGCTCCACCTGCGCCCAGGCGCCAGGCGCGAGATGGCGCGAGGCAACCTTTGCAGAACATGAAGTAAGGACATGAACCATGGCGAACAAGAAACATGCAGCGGAGTGAGCCTCCCAGCAAACACGGTATGGCGCCATTTAAGTTGTTCGGCCCGTGCGCATGGGTGAAGAAGCCCTCCAGTTGATGGGGCAACTGCAAGAAAACCGAACACTTGCGCCAAGGATACCTTACACATCAATCTCGATTGTGAATAAGGTGCCCGTGGGGGAACTTCTCAAAGTTCCCAGTGACATGATATGTTGCGTGAGGCCCTTCCTGCACGCCGCGGAGTAAAAATGCTCCTTTGCGGAGCGCGACCGTACATGCCAGCTTTTCAAACACCGAGTATCCTGACCTTGGCAAGTTTGGAAGGGCCCCGTGAAAAATTGCCACTCCGGCTCAGGCAAGGAGGATGATGGTTCCCGCATGATGCCCTTTCATTGGGAGAGTCCAGTGTGTGCCCGAACAGCTCAAAGTCAGCGAGCCCCGGCATGTTCGGCCTGGTTCACAACGACAAATCAAGCTAGCCAGCCACCTCCCAGAGCCCAGAAACTCAAAATCACCACCCACCCAAGCAAACGAGGCAAATACGGGCCTCTTCCCTGGGCCTATTCGCCACATCTGTGCCACCACCTGACGGGATGACTGATAAAAAAAAATATGACCACTACCTCCAAGCAGAACGAGGCCCGCCAACATGATTCAGGACAGTACCTTTGAAAATGGATCCATCTAGACCAAAATAAGCTTCGTGCAGCGGTGCAACTCGTCTTACCTTATCAGTTGATTGGGCACGCAAAGAGTCGGAGCGACCGGCCAAAATCCGTTCAGCCCTTTTCTGGGCTCCTTGGAGGTGTGGCAGGGAAGCCAGTCCCCATTTAGGTGGGTATGTCTATCAAGCAAACCCCCAACAAACTGCATGGGTGTGAGCTTTGGCATGCCCATGCCTAGCCGTGTGTAGGCTAGCGCCAGAACCCGCTGGCCCTTCTCAGCCATGTGGGTGTAGGCCTGGTCGTACCTCCATACCAAACGTTCAGACAACTTGTCGAACAGGCCAGGGAATACGGGAATTATATCTCGGGCCAGTACTGCAAACGTGTCAAGGCTAAATCGTAGAAAGACCAGTGCAGGACCCGCTTGGCTTCCCGCCTTGCTTGATGAAGGAACTGCAACAAGTTGAGGGCTCAACAGTAAATGATAGAAAAACTGCAGACTCCACAGGCAAGCTGAGGCATTGCACGATAGAAAGACTGCTTTGAAAAAGAATGAAACAATATATTGACTTCCTTGTGTCCCTTTTCTCTTCCAAACAAACCGGCTGTTTCGCCCCTGAGGCACCAGTCGGGCTTCTTCTGCAGCAATTGGCCGATGGCTTCGGGTGAGCCCTTCACCAAGCTGTAGACCTCAGCAGGCTCGGGGCAGAGGCATTGATACGCTTTGCGTTGGGGTTGAGGTTTGGTGCCCAGGCTGCCCAGGGATGCCTATAACTTTTGCTTGGCTCTAGATCTGCGATGCTCGAATTCCGATGGTGATTCAGCAAGGAAAGGAACCGTGTTTGGCCATGCCTCGCGTGCAGTGCATGCAGCGTCTCAGCGCCGCCACGTGACAGTGCTGATGCTGGACGACTCCCTTACGAACATTTCACTAAACCTTGAGAGCAAGTTTGTTGATGACTCACTCAGCGCTGCACTCCCCAAACTGCTGGCTATGCAATTTGCTGAGAACATGAGCCTGGAATCACACAAGCGAATGACCTTGACTTGGTACATCGGAGTCCATTACCTACCACGTGCCCACCGCGCGTGTCACTTGAGCAACAGGCTCATTTACAAAGGCCCAACTACCTCGTCCCCCAATTTGCACAGGCAGGTCCGAATGCTTCCCGCAGCCTTCTGCTACGCATCTGCCAGTTTGCACGCACAAACATGGGAACCGTCCAAAAAGAGTCTTCTCAGTGGAAACAAAACAAGCCGAGCCACGCCGGACTGGCTACTGTCTGTGGAAGTCACCTTGCAGATTGTGCTCATCCGCTGCAAGCCCGAAGAGAAGTGGAAACGGTGCTTGATGGCCACCGTCAGTTTACTGGCATCAATGCGGTCCTGCACTGCGGGGCGCTCAACAGAAGCACGCATCATCCCAGCAAGGACCTTGTGAATTGTGAACATATTGTGAACCAGCAAACGCCAAGACATCAGCATCCAGCTGCACAATGCACTATATTGTGGTAGTGGCCCGGGCAACATGTGACATCAAATCAGCTCCGCACTTGTAGGGCCTAGTCAAAACGTGCCATGCTAACCCTGCAGACCTGCTTCAAGCTCTTCTCCAGCTCTTGGATCTTCTTTGTCACCTCACAAGGCATAGCAGTGAGGGTGGTAATGCGTGGGTTCAGTCAAGGGTGAGGTTGCGGGTTCGGCCAGAGGCCCTTGATCAATGTCCAGGCAATACAGAACAATATGAAGCCAATCAAAATCCAGGCACCGCCAGCAGCAAACCAAGCAAACTCTGAGGATAGAGAGAGGTTTCCATTAAACAGTCCCTTTAGCCTTTAGCCAACCAATTCGGGTACGCGGCAGAAAGCCAGAAAGCACACCTGCCAATCTACCACTTGCTTGCTGTGGCAGTGGCCATTGCATCCTGAAGTTGTTTCATGCAGCTGGGCAGTTGCCCAAACGGCTTCATTCATCTCAACGACGAGGAATGGAATCTCCGACCGTTGGCAAAGGGTGGCAAGAAAATGAGTGCGGATTCATTTCGGGATGTGTGTTCTTTTTTTTTTTTGGATGTTTTTGTTTTCTTTCTCCGTTTTTCGTCCGGGCCAGCGAAATGTCGTTTGTTGCAGCATTTTCTGGCAAAATTGACGTATTTTACACTAGCCCGTCAACATCCCCAGCATCGTTTTCAACATCCCCCGCACGTCCCACCAACATCCCCAGCATCACCAACAAATCGTGGGCAATTAAGTCTCTGCAAAAAGTCTGAAAAGTAGCGGGGGGTTGGGGAAGAAGTGATGATTCAACTAGGGGTGCAATTCGAAGAAGTGATGATTCAAATAGGGGTGCAATGATTCAAGAAAGGGTGCGATAGAATACAAAACGCAGCGGGAGGGTTGGCGGGGGTGGCTTCCCCTATGATGTTCAAAGAAGTACAGACACTCAAACTGCATACATAGATTACATAAAATATCGTATTCTACAGCATTTTCTCGCGAAATTGGATGCAAACAGGGGTGCAATTAAATCTCTGCAAGAAATCTAAAAAGTAGCGGAGAGGGTTGCGGCAGCCTTACCCATGATGTTTGAAGAAGTGATGATTCAAATAGGGGGGCAAGATGTTCGAAGAAATGATGATTCAAGTAGGGAGGAACTGGTGATGCTGAGGATTCGTTAAGCCAAAGCCAAAAACCAATGAAAGGGTGCAAAAGTCAAAATTCCCGGAGAGGAACTGGGAAAGTCGAGGATGGTCGAGGATGCCAAAAGCCGCATAAACCAGCGAAAAGCCGCAAAAGCCAAAATGCCACCTGCGGGAGAGGAACTGGGAATGCAGAGGATGCGAAAAGTCAAAGCTAAAAAGCCACCAAAAGCCGCAAAAACCAACAAGAAGCCGAAAAGCCAAGAAGCCGCGAAGCCAAAAAGCCAAAGCCAAGAAGCCGAAAAGCCAAGAAGCCAAGAAACCAAAAGCGAAAAAGCATCACAAGTCTATAGGGTCGAGGGATGGTGGATTGTACACATAATCAACCCGATTCCTCCAAATGGCTGTTGGAAACAAACAAAGACACAAACAAACAAACAAACAAACAAAAAACAGGCGAGCAGCAAGCCAACGTGCGAGGTTTTGTCTGGCTTAATTCCACGCCGGCCGACCTCCTCCTTCTCCTTCCGGTCCGCCTCGATGCTATCTTTCAATCCAGCTACGTACTCCTTCTTGCTTGCAATGGTGAGCTCCTGGCTGGGTGGTTGCGGGCCCTACCGCACCCGCCCACTCGTCCAAAAACCCACGCTGCAGCCCAGCGAACCACCAGGCACACCTTCTCGTCAGAAATGTTCTGCTTTTGCAAATTGTTCACCGCAAAAGGGTCTTGCAAAGGAGAGCCGCGAGCATTGCATGAACATGGCAAAGCATTGCCATTTCTGGTAAGGAACCGCTTGTGAGCCAAAAAAAGTGCTTGGGAAAATATGGGGAAATCGAACACGAGGCTCACCTCACAACTCAGACTGTCCTTCGCGCGCCAGTTGGTGGGCGAAGCAGTGGATGTGGAGGGCTGATAGCTCCAGCCGATGCCCCGCAAGGCCGCCACCTCAATGGGGTCCCCCAGGAGCTTCTTATCCACCTCGATCCTGGCAAATGTGCTGGGCCCAAATGGGGGTCCAATTTGATCCGACCCACCGGTGCCCTGCGGCGTTTTCGGGAGCCAATTGACGGGCCATGGAAGCCCCAACAGCCCGTTGATCATGTGCGTAGTGATTATTTGTTCAAACAGGAATACTAAAAAAATCTGTGTGGCCGAACGGAAGGATGTCAACCTGGACCATGCAGAGCCAATCGAGCCAAACAAGAAATTATTGAGCGCTCGTCACTATCAACGTGCATGTTGCCCATAATTTTGCCTCACCAAAAAATTATGCAAGTAGTGAACCGTATAGGCTGGAACCAAACAAAGTGGCTACAAATATGTGTCTCATACGATACCAGACACATGTTGGCCATAGACTATACCTCTGCTAAGCTTCTTTCAGGACCTTAGAGCGTGAATGGCATATGAGTCGCCAAACAGAAATGTGGCAAAGGCGCAGTGATCATGGATAGCCTTCAAAATTGCATGTTCATGACAAAATAGCACGCTCATGGTAGCGTTCTGAACATTCCTGGGCCCTACCTTCCGCATCAACTCAAAGCTCGGCTCAGAGAGCCAACAGAGTTCAGCGCACGGTGCTGTACAAAGAAACTGCTCCAACAAGTAATTTGAAGGCATCCGGGAAATGCCGCAAGCCAAGTTGCAGGGAATGGCAGCCGCTGAGCACCACACAGGCCATTTGTGAAGCGTCCTTCACCGGCACCTCCTGTGCTGAGGCTTTCATTCAACCGCTGGGCACAAAATTTGTTCGCGCTTGCTTGGAGCCGGGCGGGACTCGGGGCTTACCATGAGTTCCAGGGCTGGCCATGGGCTCAAGGCAACAAGGTATCAGAATTAGTCATATATCGGTATCGTTCTGAGATTGCGGTGGTGTTGTGACGTACTTCTCTGCCTCTGAGGAACAAAAAAAGGATTAAAAAAAACACGCCATGCACGTCTCGCATCATCGACACTGAGCGGGTTCCGGCCCCTGGCAGATTTCGTCCATCTGACCCGTCCGCAACTATGAAGTGTTTTTACAAGCCCTGGCCACCAAGCGCACTTGAGCTCTTGATGGTTCCAGCTTCCCCACAAGCCCCGGGAGAAAGCCGCCGGGAAGGCGGCGCCTTGTTGGTGGAGGGGTTGACCATGCCCACCGCCACCATCTGATCCGAGGTGAGGGTGCCAGTCCTCCGTGACACATCTACCACATGCGCCATGGTCAAACGTCCTTAAGTCATGCTCCTGGCCCCCTTACCCCAACAAAGCTTCGTCTAAACTGTCCATAAAGGAATGCATGACTATCCCTACCAGCTCTATGTCAAAGGGCGTTTTGACCAAGGCCCTGATGACTTCTAGACCCCAAGCAAGAGTTCGCTGTCTTGGTGATGGCGCACCTCACCCCTCAGGAAGTATTACTCGACCTTGCCAGAATGAAACAAGGTGCGCCATTTAGCCTTGGCATTGCAACGACCTTTTATCGTACGTCAACGGCAATAAGTTGGTGCAAGCAAGTCGACCGTCGTTGCTTCCCACATGCGTGGCAGAAGTGCCAGAAGAGCCAACTGCGCTCCACACGTTCGAAATTCAAGCTGCTGGAGCTTGGTAAGGCCAGTATGAAGGAACGCTTGCAGGCGTACAATGCAATCCCCCACATGACGCAAGTGCGTTGGGGAGGATGCGCCAACTTTTGAGAAGTGGAACTTCTAAGTCTAGCCAAGCGTCTTGTCGAAGAAGCAGTGTGTCACACGGCCGGCGTAGGGCACCCGGAAGGGCTCGGTGCAGTAAATTCCAGACCTTCGCTGACCCGTGCAAATTACGATGCTCCTCTTAGGACAGGGGCCGTGAGGAATGGAGGCCCCTGCACTTTTGCCGACCCTGAACACAGATGTCAGTGCTCAAATAGTCGGCCCAACTGTATGCAGATTGCATTCGCGTCGTGGACATGGAAAATGAGGAACGCCAGTTGCTTGCTCACTTGAGTAGTTAGAGCCTCTTTGGGTGTATCAGCCCTGTACTTGGCAGCCGTGGCTACGTGGAGCCTCCGTGGGTGCGTGAAACCATGGAAGGATGCTTACGCGAGTCTACGCAGCAATAATTACGCGCCTACGAGACGTGACTTTTCTTGGGCGCTACTCTTGAGTTTGTTTACTTAAGGCAAACCATGCCTGCGCGAACCTGCCAACAGCCTACACGGACTCGCTTTCCCCTCCAGAATTGCCTATGCCATGTCTCCGGGGCACAAACGAGGGTTTCCCCTCAACACTGTGCCAATACATAGCAATTACCAACACAAAGCTGGGCAGCAGCTTGCCCGTACCCAACTCAGCGGGTGAAACACGCCTCAACAAGCTCATGAGGGCCGTGTTCACGGCAAAGGCCATCTGCATGGGCAGCGATGGCGGCACCACTGAGGTGATGATCTGAGTGCATCGGATCAGCGTCTTGTAGGTGGGCCGCGTGGGGTCCTCCGAGGCCTTCTTCCTCAGCACGGGGAGGTGTGCCGTTCAATGCGAAGAGGTGAGGAATCGTGGCATCTGCCTCTACCTGTTTAGGACAACTCAATGACTGGACTTGGGCAGGTCACAACACAACATGTCAGCAGCATGGAAACTCACGTTTTTTGGCTTGGTGGCTCACCCGTGACAGGCCTGTAGGCTATGCGCAGCAGCAAATGCATTTTGTGAGCTGCGAGACTCAACAATTGCACAGAGTGCTGTGACGGCTTTTGTTGCCCTCATGCCGAAACATCAAACAGCCTTCCCCGCGGGTTGCGTTGAGAAAACGCACCTCCCACATCCTGCAAGGGCTACCTTGTTAAAGGATTCGGTTTGACTAAGATTGTTGGGCATCTCAACTCACCTTGGCCGAGGTGCATGACATAACCGGCTGCCACCAAGGCAAACACCAAAAGAAAGCTCAGCTGCAGCACCGTCTCCACGGTATCTGCGCCCACGTTCTCTGTGGAGAACTCAATCATTCGCATCAGCTCTCCTCCGCAAGATGGTTTGAGATGGTTTGAGACCTGTTGAGACGGCGTCAACCACAATGATTCCAGCCACTCCAGCTACCCCATGAACATCACCAAACCACATTCCCGTGGGGTGCCACTGGGGCGCGCAAACATAACCGAAACAATGCAACCTTGGCCCTGCTTGAGCACCCAAGCAGGCAAGACTACAATGTCGTTGCAGAGCACGACAATCCAGCCAAAGCCAGAAACTCCATCTTCAGCCGCCGCTTGAGCTGCTGCTGAGGATTCATACGATCGAAACTGTAGAAGCGCTTGAATGCATATCGCAGAGCCCAAGCAAGCTCCTTGGGAGGAGTTGAAGCCCGTGCGCAGCACATAGCAAACCTTGCAGGCCAGCATTGATAAAGATGGCTGGCTGGGCAACACGTGCATGCGTGGCCCAATGAGGAAGTGTTTCGCGAGATGCATGCAAAGGAGCACGGGGCATGGGGAACGCAGTGGGGCTCTGGGGCACGTGGAAGGTGAAAAACATCATAATACTAATAGAGAAATACCCATGTCCTCCAACAGGTTTGCCAGCCCAAAGCGGACGCAGGCACAACAAGCAACTGCGCATTCACTTCTAAGGTAAGGGGGCATCTGCAAAGCAACCCTATTGCTCTTCGGTCAGTGTGAGCAGCTCAATTTGTGCATCAAGGCCACCTTTGATAAAACGCAAATGACTCGCAGTGCTTGAAACAGCTGGGCATGCGGACATGTGCAGCCTCATGCCTTGCTTCGGGCCCAATTGGTTTGCATTGGCAGGCACAAGTGGCGCAAAAAAAGACAAACACGCGGACAAACTACGCACTCACACACACACAACGTCTGCACCACATCACCCGCGCTCAGAAGCAATTCCATCATCCGGCGGGCACGTGGGTCCGCTCTTCACGGCCTTCTCCTTCTCGGGCGACGTGGTCTGAATCAGCGACGTGCCGCTGAAAAGGGCGTGTATCCTGCGGGCCCATGAAACTGGATCCGATGGACCGGCAGAAAACCCTGGGCTTTGAAATAGCACCGCCAGGAAACCCTGCACAAGCAGGTGCATCGGAACTGACCAGCGGGGCTCCAATGTGAGCCACTGGACGTGCGGTAGCACATCCACTCTCAAAGCAGTCAGCAAGGAGTGAGACTTTAAAACAAGTGGGCCAAAATGGTCCCAACCTGACGTCCGTTGCCTTCTTGGGAAATTTAACGGGCAGCATGCCAATCGGGGCCCGATGGTCTGGAGGCGCCTATGGGTGCCGAAGCAATCAACCAGCATCTCGGGATCTGCCGCGCTGCTCATCGCATCCTTCATCTGCGGCACGGACTCGCCTCCGAATGCAAGCCAAAATTGTTTGTAAGACCTGACTAAGCTGCTATGCGGCTATGCGCGCGAGAATACGTCAGGAGGCGGAAAAGGCCCCATGTAGTTCCAAGAAGAAAACTGTATTTCAGCATGCGCTACGGGTTTGGTGCCTGCGGAAGACAGGGGATCCAAGAATCTCTATGCTTGTCTTTCCAAATGGCAGGCAAGTAAGGGGGAAACGAGCCTCTCTTTGCACAAACGTACTGGAGGCTGATAAAACCTCCCCCCCAGAATGTCTCACATTGGTCTCATTCCGAGCCATTTTCTTTCGTCCTCAGCAAGAAGCAAAATGAAGTCAACCATTTCACCCTATGTGGAGACAAATTCAAGGGAGTAAAGTTTGAATTTGCCGCATGCAAAGCTGGGCCCATGTGATCCCATGTGCACAGCAATGCGCAGCACTTAGCGTGGTGCTTCCTAGTGTTTCCCGAATGGTCGGCAAACATAGCTGAGATATCTTTCTTGGTGAGGGAACAATGACAATGGGATTCGTGCCAAGATGCCAGGCACCCAAACCGGACAACGCGTTGTTGCATGCCAAAGGGCAACTGCCGACAGTTTGGCCCGGCTACGCTGGACGAAATGCCCATTGAATCAACCGAGGGGCCAAGGAGCCCCCCAAAAGGCCCAAAAGTGAAATACAGAGTGCCTGGAAGCTGTATGGTGGTCAGAGCCACCTGCTGGGCAAAACCACGGGGCCCACTTGGTTTTGAGCACTGCTCACGCCTGTGAGGGTGGCTTCGTTGACAATCGCGCTGCCCCGGACGATGAGGCAATCGCATGGCACCAAGGTGTCCTCACGGCCCAAAGGAAAGCAAGGGATGCAGGTTGCCAGGACTCAGCCGGACGTCCCTGGACCCAAATCGTCTGCCTTGGACGCCCATGCGGCCCGCACACGCATGCATGCCAGTCAGCGCGTCACGCGGTGCAATGCCGAGTGGCGCGCAATATACAACATGCATATTAGCCTCACCGTGGTGAATTGCAGCATGAGGCCGCCAGCTCAATGGACTTTTATGCACCTACTCCCACTAGCATATTCGTGAGTCCTGTGCAGATCTGCTTCATACAAGTCTGCCCCAGAACGAATCTGGTCTGGGTGTCTCAAAACAAGCAACTAACCGTGGACCGTGCCAAGGCCAAAGGAACGAAGTGAGGCACCCTTCGAGCTTCCGGATGACCAAACAGCACACCGGAATACACTCGAACCGCGCATGGCTCAAACTGCCAACCAGCACGAATTCGTCGCACAAAAACAAGTTGCTCAGAAATGTCCGCAAAATGAAGTGAACATGACTACGTATGTGCAACACTATGTGCAAAACAGTTTGCGTGCATGACGTGCGCGTTGAGTTCAGAAGCTAACGTAGCCCTTGCAGCTGCTGTCCTTCTTCTTCTCTGCCTCTCCCTCCACCTTGTGCTCATCCGCCCTGACTGACAGCCGCAGTGAAACATGCAGTGTGACACGTTCTGCTAATCCCTGGCCAGTGGAAAATGTACTACGCGAATGGATCAAAGCAGGAAATCACGCAGCACAAGCGTGCTGCCAAGGAGCTTTGTATGCAAAGAGATCAAATCTCCGGGCAGGAGTTCCTCGATTGGTCGATCCTCCCACTTGCCACACCGGTACACAAAGACCTCGGCAGGTATGGGAACACTGCAAGTCAGTGCAGTCGGGAAGGTTGGCCATGGCCATACCTCTGACATGGTCTTTAGACATTCCACTGGCTCCACTTCATCACCCATGCTTCCCTGCCGACAAAGGCATTGAATGCCATCGTGTCTTCTGCTGCACCCCTACTTGACGGCAACTGCCCCATTGCTCGCCAAGGCGCGTTGAAGCCTGAAGAGCAAGCCAAAACTGCAAGCATGGCGCAAGTGAGAAATGGTGCTCCATACTCACCGTATTCTGGCTGAACAGCCAGCACGGAAGGGTTGCCCAAGCATATTGCCTGCATCTGGCAAGGTGGTTCTTGACGTTTGCTTCGCGTGAACACCAAGGAGCTCTTGGTGCTCATGCCCCTGAGCTGCGCCATGGACTTCAGGCGCTGCAAGACCGTGGAGGCCTCGAACATCAAAATGCTGCCCAGGGTGAAGCAGGTGTACTTCCTCGGCTCGATGTCCCGATTTGTGCGTCTGGTTTTTTTTGGGGGATTCTTCGGCGACTCTGTCATGCCCCTGCTTGCTGAGCTAAGGGGCCCTGAAAGGAAAGGCGACGCGATTTGAACAGAGCATTTGCGCACGTGGGCCTACAGAAAGCTGAAGGTCGAGTGGTTGGAAGGACAAATTGGACAAGTAAAACCTGCAAACGAAAATGGCGAGTGTACCTCCAAAGGAGCAATGCAAGTAGGCCAAAGCTTGCACTGCCCAGACCTGTGCAAGCTGAGCAAACATATTAATGCCATGATGCAGTCACACAACCTCTTCAATCAATCATTGGCGAGCCGTGGTCTTGGTTGCATGGCAAGGGAGCTATCTTTCTGCTGAAGGAAACCAAGAAGCAAAGAATAGCTAAAGACCCCGGCACAGCACTACCAACGCCAAGAACTTTCTGGCCAAGGGGTGATGAAGCTCCAGAAGCCACGTCCCCCAATGCAAGACTCCTTGATTGGCCAAGGTGCCAGAAAGTGTCCATAACCCACAAGGCTGCCGAGAAGAGCTGAAAGATCACCAGTGGCGAAATGAGCTGCTTCTGGAAGAGCCTGGCAAAGGCAGCTGGCATTGCTATGGCCACTGCCCTGGTTCAACTCTAGCCGGGTCACTGCCAGAAAGTCGGCTTCGGCAGGTCAAAGATGTTCTGCCCGAACTTGTCCTGCGCCAGCAGTTTCCCAGCAAAGAGTGAACCAGTCAATCCTCCGTCGCCCGGGGCACCAAGCCGAGCCAGGCGTTTTCGAAACAGCTGCCCCCAGTTGCCCAGCTACCCTTGTAGAAAAAGGGAACCCCTTTTTGGGCCAAAGAAAGGGCGCCATTGAACAACTGGGGGGACATTCTTTTCGGGGGAGACAGTCTCGGACTTCAAAGACGCAACACTCGAGGAGTCGCTATGGGGCAGGTGGAGCAGATTTGGAGGGCCGTCGCTGGGTTCATGCTTGTCCGTGCCTGTTTGCAAGGTGGTTCTGGAAGCGTAGCCACAGGGCACTACCAGGTCACTACCAACTCAAGTCACTGATTCTGGACGGGTAGCCAACCAGCAAATAGACCACATCAAACTTGAGTTGCCCCCAAATCCGTGCCCGAACCATACCGGTATCACCAGCCACCAAGAGAACTTTCCCAGCCACAGCCTCAAACCTCCAACTAAACAAAGGGCACTCTTTCCATGAGGCGGCATGCTATGAAACATTATCCTTTTTTACATTTCAACAACCCATGCCTTTAGCAAGCAGTAGGGGAACCACAATTCAACCAGCGCTCCAGCAATTCGACCCAGATGCCCCTACCCCGGGCCATTGAACTACCATGCCCGGCATGGTTAACGAAGCCCCCAAACATCCGAAGCCAAACATCCCCAAACCCCCGCGCCTTTGCAAGTTCCACCGCGCCCGACCCAAGTCCTGCGCAGTCACTCGCTTCAGCCCGCAGAACCCTCGGCATCCCATCGATTCAGGGCCCACGACGGGTCATCAGCTGCAAAAAAAAACCACAGACACACAAAGTGGGATACCCGGCAGTGCTTGGCTCGCAAAAGGTCACTCGAATTTCCAAGGTGAAGACTGCGAACACGGAATCGCAATGTCTTCCAAAGAGCCTAAAAACGATTGTCTTGTAATGAAAGCATGGTCTTGGTTGCTTCCCGCAGCTTCAAGCTTCCATGACCGGGCAAACGTTGAAATAGCGGGGCGTCTCCAGGGGCAAATAGGGCAACTGCGTCACAAGGCATCTCCCACCTATTGGGTTGCAAGCTGGTGCTCACCGCCCTCGCGCGCCCTCGCTCGCATCGCTCCGACGGCATTGCGGTAGTAGCGCCAAGGCTGGTTCGTGGGGCATTGGATGAGCCGCACGCCTTGCCATCGAACGCAGGTCGCGCATTTTTTGGGCCCCTGAACATTGCACTTGAGGGAAGTCCTCTTGAATTTTCTCATGTGACGTTCAGAAATTGAGTTTGGAAAGCCTGCACTCAAAGCCCTCCAATCATCCTCCATGCGCAGTACCAAGATGGGCTTCTGATGGCGAGGCAAAAGTATGGCTGCTCGGAATGCGCTGCCCCCCCAACATCAAAAAAATGGAAACTCTTGGTGTGCTAGTTCAGCGGCATGCTCCAAAGGTCCTGGGAAAAAAGGGCAAGCTATGGCAAGTTTTTAGGAGGATGCTTACGGATCTGATAAGGTGAACCGAGCGTCGTGGCTATCGTGGCCTGCGTTTGCCTCGGACAAACCAACTCTCAAATGCAGCGCAAGCGGCCTGGTGCATCCGCATCCTCAGCTTGCCAAGCTTTCTCCGCACATAAAATAGACCAAGGCCCGCGAAATCTCAAACCAAGAGAAAGCATCAAAAGGATATGCCGGCCCTGCCCAAGGAATGTGAGATTGAAGGTCTACAGAGTCTACAGTCAGCAAAAGCATTCAGGCAGCCTCGGCCCAGGCAACAAAAACTACCAAAGGGATTCTTGTATGCACCTACGCTTGCACAACTTAGTTATTCTGACGTTCTGACCATTGATGTGAAGAGTGGCATAGGCCTGTTCCACGTTTTTCGGCTCAAAAGGGCCAGAATCAGGGCCCAAAGCCGCCAAATCGTATGGATGGTGCACCTCAAACTGCTGATTTGGAATTGGAAGCAAGCAAAAAGGGTTGTGGAATCTCACCAACGCCTCGCTGTGCATGCAAGCCGCTCCCAGCAAATCTGGATCTTCAACCCCTGCCTCGACGAATTCGAAGTTCTGGTACCTCACGGCGACCGCATCGCGACGCGTCTCGTTTTGACAAGGAGTGGTTCAGTGCATCTCATGTACACGTCCTGCTGGCGTGGTTTTCAAGGAGTTTCCTGAGCTGCGCAATGAAGCAGCTCTAAGCAAATGCCAGGAGTTCAATCAAACTAAGCTCACCGGATGCAAAACAGTGTCAACCTTGCAGCAGGTGCAACGAAGCCACAAGTCCTGCCAAGACCTGTCGGGCTGTCTCGCAGCTTTCACAGTGATTTGCAAAATCCCTCGTCCTTCCCATCTAACATTGGGAGGTTTTGGACCATTGGTTGCCCACATGTTGGAATTGCTGAATTCCTGCGCCACCTTCAGTACATGCCAACAACATTGACAAGGGGGCCGTTCAGTGGCCGCCTACGGGAGTTGGGAAAGTTGCTTGAGGACTTCATTCCTCAACCTGTAAAAAACCCAACATCGCGCATCCGTGATAAACTTAACAAAAGCACCCTTGGCTTGACTGTTGGACACCATGCCTTGTCCAATGAATTTTAGCGTTGGATAATGGACCTCGTGCCATGTCAATGGGTCTTGCCAGCCGCGAAAACCCAAACCCACTCCCTGTGACTAGCTGCTGGAACTTGAAGTGGCAGTTCAGAGTCACCTCTCGGGACGGGAAAGCCGCGTGCACGTGGGGCTGTTCTGCATCAGAAGCGACTCGGCCTTTACCAAAGAGTGGGACTCAGCATTGCCGGTCAGGCGACCCAAACTCCCACTTTAGACAAAGCAACGGTTCGCTATGACAAGCCGGAGACGTCCTGAGTTGCTCAGCCATTTAGAGAACAACGGCCGCCCAATACCCAAACCACAGCACTAGGCATGATAGGCACCCAGGCCAGCCAAACATCATGCAAATATCAAATCATCTGGCAGTGTCATGCAACCACGCCTCAGATTCCTGCACTAGGCAAATGTCCGCCTTGCCCTTGTTGGCATGCGGTGTCACACGCACAAAACCTCAGCATGGTTTGGAACATGTCTCTTGAAGCAAGACTGAATGAAACACACGAGTGTGAAAGCAAGCAAGCAAGCAAGCAAGCAAGCAAGCAAGCAAGCCAGCCAGCCAGCCCGCCCGCCCGCCCGCCCGCCGGCCAGCAAGCAAGCAAGCAAGCAAGCAAGCAAGCAAGCAAGCAAGCAAGCAAGCAAGCAAGCAAGCAAGCAAGCAAGCAAGCAAGCAAGCAAGCAAGCAAGCAAGCAAGCAAAGCAAGCAACTTGGGTTGAGTAACAAATCACCAACCGACAACCTAACTACCTAACTAAGAAACTTTGAACAACTCACAAGCTGACCAGAATCCCGTGCCAAGCCGCTGCCAGCTCTCACCTTGCTGGATGGCTCAAAGAGGAAATTCGCCCGGAAGGCGATGGACCAAATGCACATCAGGTGGAAAAGGACGTGCACCTCAGCCCGTTTTGCAGTGAGGACGTGCCTTCCCAGGCCGAAAAAACATGGAACCTGGGTAACCTGACTGGGAAGCGTTGGAAGACCATTGTCCTGACAAGAAACGCTTGCAGGTCTGGAGCAAGCGTGTTTGCCAAATGGCGTAGACAGTGTGAGAATTCCTCTACAAATGGGCCTTGTGGAAGCAGTCAGTTTTGACAAAAGCCTGCACCTGCGAAACATTCACAGCTTATGAAGAACATTCTGAGCTGAGCATGTTGCGTAGAGACATCAGGAAGCCCCCAAACGACAAGTCCTTAGCGCCATCTCTCTGAACCATTTCCGTCATGGAAAGTCCGCCCGATGGTTTGGCATGGCGAGGCACCAGGATGTTCCTCAGGCGGCGCAGCGAATGGGCGAACAGCTGTGGTGGCCCTTGCGGTTAAGCAAAAATGTCAGGCTCGCCCAGGGAAATCCTCTTGCAAGCTTCAATGAAAAGGCGTGGCAGCGCTGCTTTTACTGCCCCACTAACCTCGCACATGGGCAGTGCTTATGCAATTGTCAAGGGGAGTGAAGCTCATCTGCACCAATCTGAATCAAGGCAACCGGCCGAGAGCCCTTTACCTCAAAGTTTGCTGAAATCTGAGCAAAATGATGCGCGGGAGTCTTGAGGGTTGTGCTCCGGTCAAGGCCAGTCCTTCGAACGGGCTTGCTTTACCCGCGCCACGCCTGCAATGTAGTGAGTCTTCAACTTGTCTGCGCGATGTGGGCCAGTTGCAGGTTGCAAATCAAGGCCACCATTTCAAGCTGTGAGCTGTCACATTAGATTTCCCAAATGGGCTTCTGAAGCCAACCCTCAAATGCAGCTGCAGGCCCCTGCTAGGTTCCGTATCCAAGGCGGCAAAGCATAGCAAAGCGAAACACTGAAGCCAGGTGTCACGAAGATGAAGACGCACGCAGTGGCGCTAGGCATGTACAGCGAGGGTAGCGACTCCTCCGAAAGAAACGCTGCCTCTGAACATGTATTGTATTGTAAGCTAGCGATATACTGGAAAAGTGGAAGGGTGGAATGGCAGTGCCTCTGACGCAGATTTGGTCAAGATTACAGCTTTCCAGAGAAGGTAACAACGAAATCCTATAAACGCGCCTAATTGCAGGCAAACTCCGGCCGAGGGGTGTTTGCACTCAATGCCGTTTCAAGAAAGGGTGCCGGAAAAACTGCGGCACTTTGCAAATCAAATTGAAAGAATGGGCACCCTTGCTCGCGTATCAGCCCGGTCTTTGTGGGGGGTGGGCCAATTGATCTGATCTGACAAAGCCGCAGCAAACAAGGACATACCAAGACTACAAAGCTACCAACAACCCCCCCGGCATGACGGGTGCGGTGAGTGTGTGTGTGTGTGTAGCGAGGCTTATGCGAGGCTTGTGATCAGCGTTAGGTGTACACAAGCAACATAGTTGGAATGAATGGTAAAAACACTAACTGTCTAAAAGAGCTTGCTGGCCAGCAAGGGAAGCGCCATCCTGCCGAAAAGCATTCCGAACGTGAAGCACATGCATCAGCTCGCGACTCGAACCCTGAAGAGAGTGATGAATCCTCATCGAGCTCCAAGTCGGTCTCCTGCGACTGCGGTTGAGACTGAGAGGCGCCAAAGCATGCGGTTGAGAACCTTTCGGGAAGCGTTGAGATGGGTCTTGTTTGCAAGGTAGGGGAAACAACTCATCACCTGCCGAATTCCCTGGAACCCACTCACCGGATTAGGAGCCAAAGGTGGAAAACAATGTCAAGAAGCGCGGCTATACAAGAACCCAGGCAACCAACTGGTGAATCCGAGCTTCCTTTGATAGTTATTAAAGTCTCATGCCTTTGGTGACTTGGGAGATGGGCCCATTCTGGGAAAGCCCAGGCTGTGCACACTGTGCAAACAAGATCAAGCCAAGACAGGGCACTCAGCGCATGTTACCAATGTTGATGGGCATCCGCGGCTTGGGGTTCTGTTTAGCCCTGAGAGCTACAAGCGGCCCAGAGCCTTACCCTGCGCGCTGCTTTCTCCAAATCCGGGAGCGCCCCCGGAACTGCGCGGCTGGAGGTGGACGACCTCGCCACTGAACACAGGCCGGTCAAACATCCTGCAGCATCACTTTGGCTGCCTTTGCAGCAGCTCCAACTTGGGCATGCTTCGCATTGAAAGGTTGGCAGCCATCTCCCATGTGCTTGAAAACAAAAAGAAAACACCATTTCCCCCCCCCCCCCCCATTTTGACAGGTGCCCAAGTGCTTCCCGTTGCAAGGCTGGCAACCATCGCCCGCTTGGCGTCTTGCCACCTCAGTCGAGCAGAATGGCATCCTGGGAGCCCTTCCGTGCAGCCCGGCGTTCGCGCATCTTCTGGCGACGCTCCGCCTCGTCACTCTGCTGCTTCTGCTTCAACTCCTGAACGAGGCATCAGCTTCATTCAGCTTCCCTCCGATTGGCGGGAGGGTTTGGCGGCTCGGGTAGGGGGCGGAGGGTGGCGGATCATTTCCCTTCTACAAACACGGGGTCACACCCCCAAGCCACCGACCAAGGGCAACCTGCAGTCACTTGAACTAAGCAGGGGCGTCCCAGCGAGAAGAGCCTTGAACAGCGGCTCGCCCTCGAAGCCACGGAAGCAAAACTCGAGATGATGCCGCCGGACCAAGACTTATCTACTTCAGTCTCGGTATGTCTCGGTTTAGTTGGTCAGCGTACCTTCCCCCATTCCAGGTTCGCACCAACACTAACATTAACAACAACACCAACCAACTAACACTACCCAACACTAACAACGCCAACTAGTCAACAAAAACTAGTCAGACCCACATCAGCCAAACGTGGCACTTGGCTTCCATTCGCAGGGCGCCTCCTGCTTCTTTCGCAGCTCCTCCGCCTGCTGCAGCAGCCGCGCCTTCTTGGCCTGCCGCTCCTCCTGGGGATTCCAAAGTTTGGGTGTGGCGATGAGTGGGGGGGGACAGCCATGTTCCAGGTTAACCCCCCCACCCCCCCTGGCAGATTGACATGGAACCCTACCCTGGACACCTTTGAAGGGAAAGGATGCTTAGACAATGAGGTGCAAAAACATGTCTAAACGTGGTGGCCCTAGAGCCTCGGCCAAACCAAAATCGCTCCAAAAATCACCATCATGAGCTGCCTAAGTGCGGCAACACTTGGCTTCCTGTGTTGACCAACCACAGCGATCCCAGTTGCCATTCTATAGGTATGATCAACGGTATGAAAGGCCAAACCATGATTGGCTACCATTCATTATGACCGTGACGCACCAGGCATTGTTTGGTTGCTATTGCACCACGGGCATCAGCCCTGGAAGGAAACATTTCAACATACATATGCCTCACAAGGTCTCCTTTCAACATGGCCACACACCTGACACAAACGCCGCCACTCCCTCTCCTCTGTCTCCGGAGGGCTCGCTGCCGCCTCCGTTCTCTCTTTGGGACTGGCAGTGTCCTCCTCGAGCATGGCGGCGATCAGGCTCTGTGCTGCCTTGGCAAACTGCGGCCCACCGTTCCAAAATGCTCCAAAGGCTCGAGTCGAAGAAACTGCTCTAGAAATGCTGTAAGAGACACCAAATGGCTAACCCACCACACAAGAGTGCCCTTATGTTAATTTCAGTTGGGAAACGCTGAAATGCGTGTGCGGACACCTACAGTCCCTTGGTGCCATAAGTTTCAACCACAACCACCAGCCTCTCGACCAGGGACGTCCGACATAGAAACGGTTAAGGAGTCTCGATTGGGCAAATTCCGGCTCCCATATTCACGTCGCACCTACGTGTCCCAAAGCGGCAGACTGGGGTGCACATTTAACAAAACAACGACGCAGTTTGAGGGTCAATGCATATGGCACAATGCGCCCAACGAGATGTTATCATACCTCTGCAGCACGCGCAGCACTGCACGGACAAACGAGGAACGGAGCCGTGGACAATGAAAGCCTCTGATCTAATCAACCCGGCTCATTCATTGCGAGTGCGACCAGGAAATCGATAAAATATGCCCAGATCCCCCCGCCTCTCGCTTCCGCTTTCTTTCCACCTCCATCGCTTCAGCTTGCTGCCTGGGCGAGCGTTGCGCATGACCGTCTGGCAAGTGCACAAAGCAATAGCTTGTTTACCGGCTTGACTACCCGCAAATGTGCCGCTGTTTCTCGAGCTACGTGGCGGGCGTGCGCTTGGATGGGTGGGTGCGTGAGTGGGTGGGTCTGATCTCGGATTTCCCACCTGCCATACGGCTTTGGACACATCCGAGCTCCCAATAGCCGAGCTCGAGACTCATTTTCCAAGCAAACAAACACTGGAAACACTGTGGAACCAAATCTGCTTTGCTTGCGCCATTGAGATTTCTGGGGGAGCATCGCAGCATCGCTCTAAGTGAGTGGCTTGGCGATCTCCAGGTCCTTCTTTGCTTGCTCCTCCGCCTCTCTCCTCTGTGCTTCGCGCTGCCGCTCGCGCTGTCGCTCTTTCTCCTAGAGGGCGGGGGCGTGCCTGCCCTGCAAAGAGCGAGAACGAGATTCAGGGACGGTTTGGGCATCTATCTCTGCAGCATGGCAGCATGGCCCTGACACAGTCGAAGCAAACGTGTAAGAGTGACACAAAGTGATTGTTTGTTTTTAAACCCATTCCAATGCATCGCAAGGGGAATAACAGGTCACTTGTGCACACGACTCGAAATGGCCTACACTGGGCTGAAACCGAAGTGGTCAACAGTCACCAGGTTGACCTACAACAGAACGCCAACTTAGCTATTGGAGAATGTGACATTACCTAGGCCTAAACCATCTTAAACCAACCGTTGCCCTTAGAAAGGCCCACTGACTCGCAGCCTCCTCCGCCACAATGCGCCGCTTCTCCTCGAGGGCATCGATGGCATCGGCCGCCCCCGCCTTGGCCTTCTCCTCAGGCGCCCGTTGGCATGCCAGAGAACCCACCAGAAGGCCACAGCAGAATTGCCCGAGTTGTCTAAGTCAGGTTCCATGTGAACTGATAGGATGGGAAAAGTGTCTATAGATTATATGTTGGAGCCCTCTTCTTGGTTGGTGCTCCTCTTGGTTGGTTCTTCAAGGGAGCCAGGGAAAACCGACCCTCCTTTGGGCCCGGTTGTCCTTGCTTAGGAAACATCCATGTGGGTGTGACATAAAAAAAAGGGAGTGGGCCAATGATCGTAATGGTTGCATTGCCCAGTGGGCATGAACACCCTGTTTCCCAGCGCCAGCGCCGAGTGTCCAAATCATCTATGATGGCCAAGGCGTCCATGCCACTGCCACGGTACCTTAAATGCAGCATCCACTGCCACAGGAGTCACACACACACACACCCACGCACGCACGCACGCATGCACGCACGCACGCACCAACACACACCCGCACACACACAGACACAGACACAGACACAGACACAGACACAGACGCAGACGCAGACGCAGACGCAGACGCAGACGCAGACGCAGACGCAGACGCAGACGCAGACGCAGACGCAGACGCAGACGCAGACGCAGACGCAGACCCACACCCACACCCACACCCACACCCACACCCACACACACACACACACACACACCCACCCACCCACGCACGCACGCACGCCCCATGCCCGCCCGCCCGCCCGCCCACGCACGCACGCACGCACGCACGCACGCACGCACGCACGCACGCACGCACGCAGACACCATGCCGCAAAGCTCAGTGTGGTTGATCCTACAAATGGGTGTTAACAACATCCCACTTGTCCAACAGCGGGTGAAGAAGAGATAGGTTTGACGCCCTGAGACGCCAGGGCGCTTGTCCTCCAAGTCATCCACGGCTGTGCGCGGCCGCGTCAGCGCCAGCATCTCCGGCCCCTTCAGCGCCTGGCACTGGCATTTGGAGATGGAACTCGGTTCAACTCTGCGACAGTACGCCCACCCCTCCCATTCCCCCCCCAACCCCCCCCCCTCCCCCCCCCCCACCTCCCCCCCCCCACCCCAAGCCAGCCCATGGGTAGACCCATGGCTCCGGCCAACTCAGCCCAGGCGCGTGGATGGCGTCCGAGCGCATGGCGTCCTTGCTGCCCGAAGCGGTGGTCACCACACACGCCTGGTGCGCCTTGACAGTGGCCTCGGCTCCCAGCAACTGGGTGGGGGGGAGGTGGTGAGTGGGTTGGTGGGTGAGTGGGAGGGTGAGTGGGTGGGTGAGTGGGTGAGTGGTGGGTGGGTCAATCAAAACTGTGTGCCAAACAGCTAAACATGGGCTCCGTGAAATTGAACCAAGATATCTATCCCTTTCGGGTTCCTCAGGGAACCTGATCAAGTGTCAAAATAGGGGATCCCTGGTTGGTGGCTTCTTTTGGGATCTGCTTCAAGCAACCCCAAGAAGAATACTTACCCGACGACCACTTTGCTTTGCTCAGCGGCGGCATTCTGCTTTCGGTCCCGGCAGGCCAGGCACTCCGAATGGCTCGAGTGGACCTGCAGTGCGCGATTTTTGCCGACCGTCTTTCCCCAAGTTGGGGCTGGAAGCAATGTGAAACGTGCACAAAGAACAACCCTGACAGTTGGGCCTGGGCTTTTTAGAAGGGTTGCTTGCAAAGTGCAGCCCACGTTTGGGAGAAGACTCCTCCGCAGCGATGTTCCTTGGGTTGCCTAATTCCTTCTTGGAGCGCTCATTCCTTGTTGCAACTCATGCGTCCCGATGTGTGGTACCTTTGAGAGCGTAGCATGTGCTGAAGCACTGGTAGTTGATGCAGCCTGCAATTCAATCACGCTCTACAGCTGGTAGAATCAAACAAACGGCCCAAACACTTATTTGCCGGACCTGGACGGGTGTTGCTAGTCATGGGATTTGGAGGGTCAGAGAAGGATCTCCACAACGCTTCTTTTTGTCAATGTTTGTTGATGGCAAGGCTTTGGCCGCACTGGCTCTGCTGGTCTTGTGGGCGGGGCTGGCTACCACCCCAGTCACCACAAGGTGGTGGGGGGGGAGGCTTCGGTCAGGAGATGAAGACTTCTTGCTTCAGCCATGCAGTGGCAACAAATACTGGCAGCTTGACATCGCCAATGTTTGCACTGGATCCCAAAGATGCATCGCATTCCTGCCAGGCGTGATTATGACAGCAAGATTCAGTGGTGCTTGTGTGCTTCAGCCTTTTCAGCCCAGACACTGCACAATCAAATCCAAGTGGCAATCGCATGGCACTCGGGGCAGTTCTTCTGCCCCTCGCAGAACATTTTCCTGGGATGTGGATGGTGCAGCCAGGACTTTATCGGAGAGTGCACGCGGTGGCTTCTCTTGCCTATCCCATTGGTGGCCTTGCCGAGCATGGTGGAAAAGGTCATCCAGAGCGCAGCTTAGGCTGTTTACTATTCAGCGATGAAGGCATTGATCGAGTTGGCATGGGCAAGGCAAACGTACTTGTATGAATGAGGTTAAGACAGCCTGTGGGCATGTGAGAGTTTCGGACTCTACAAAACAGCAGAGATTCTGTGCACAAGCATCGCCAACCCACGGCCAGCTTACAATCTCAGAAGGTCTAACTGACAGTTGCAGGGAGCCTAAACAGAGGACTCAATCACCGCTAGGTCCTTGGATCCCCTGGTGTTGTTCAATCCACCAAACTTCAAGCCCAAAGCCAAGCTGCTGGTTCGCCAGCGGGTAGAAGTCATAGGCGCGCTGGCCCATGGTGTTGATCGTGGGCTTGGGGTGGTTGCATTTGGCGCAGAACATGCTCTTGCCCAGATTCCAGTTCTTGCCTCGAGTGGCCGACAAACACACGGGCATACAAACACAGGTGGCATGAACTAGCCGGTAAGCTACGCCGCATTCAGCCAACCCCCCAGCCCCCCACCCTTGCGCTTGAGCAGCATTCAGGGCATATGAAGTCCGAAGACTTCCATGAGCGCGGCATGGCGGCGCTCAGCTGCTGGCCACTTTGGGCAGCTGTTCGGCCAACCCCGGGGGTGTGGGGACTCGGGGGTCCGGACCTCTATGGTGCACTTGTCCGATGCTGCCTGCACCTGACTGGCGCAGTGACGAAGAATTCCTGATTTCTGGACACCGCCTACAAGGACCCCACACACCAGGAATCCAGGGCAAGTTAGCTGGTCTTGTGGTGATGCCTATTGCATGGCCACAAAGAGGATGGCAGCCAGGGCCGCATACTGAACCTCAACAAACCTGCGAAGCAAGGGTGACATACACAATTCTATACCGACCACGGCCATGGGAACTCAACGGCTGCCAGTCTGTCAAGCTTTCACGCTGTTGCACTCCTGCTGTTGCAAAAGTGACTGTAGCTGATGAATACGTCAGGCTTTCGACTTACTAAGGGCAGTTCCCGTTCACATTTTCGTCAAGGCCATGCATAGTATGCCTTTCGATAAAATGTGCCTTCTTTGGTATGCCTGCCACGGCTTGAGCCACGATGACCAGTGCACTTGCCCCTTGCCGCTTCTACTGTCGACAATTTCAAACAAAACGCCAGCCAAGGCTTCGCCACTTACAGATTAAACACACCTGGAAGGAACTCATGATAGACAACTTCGGACTAGAGGATATGCTGTCTGGCTTGCGGAGGCCGGCCACAACACCGACCACTGAACTGGGCTCCTTCCGCTCTTGCTGCCCGCTTGTGAAGGAGAGGCCCTTCTCCTGGATCCAGCCGGAGGCCGGGACAGCAACATGCCAGCAACGTGACTGGGCATGCGCGGGGGTCATGTCCATTGTGAAGTCGCATGAAGCCCGCTGATGCCTTTGCAGGGGTCGCCTTGAAGGGCGCACAGAAAGAGCTGGAAGCGGGAAGGTCCCTCAGTCAAGCGATGCTTTGCGGAGTTGCAAGTTACAAGTGCTCAATTCGAGCGGATGGCAAAACCAGGTCCTTGGCATGATATCTTGATACCAACGATTGGGCAAAGTCATGTGCGCCTTCTTTGCCAATGGCGACGAAGTCTTGCTTCATGTGCAACAGGGGTGGTCTCTGATCCAGCAGGCAGTTTTCGATGCAAAGCCCACCCCAAAGATAACATCGTTTTTGGGACCCCAGTATGGGTGGCCAACCTCGCCCTCTCCTCTTCTGCACGCTTTACTCCCCGCAAATTAAAACACGGAACCTGAAAACCACCACTGTTAGAGGAATCTCCACTTGGAGAAACCTCATGTTCTACTATTTTCTGTGTTGGCATGGTGTCAGAGGAACCTCCTTCTAGACGAAGCACAGCTTCTTTCCTCGCTTTCCTTGTGTTCCGTGTGAATTTGCGGGGGAAGAACCCGCGTCCTTCACAACCTCCGCCTTGGCCTTGATGAGCCGCTTCTGCTCTTCCAGCGCCCATTGGTACGGCTGCCCCACCTCGCGGTGTCAGGGCATCCGGGGGAGAGCTGAGAGGCGTATTTCGTGTGGCAGGGCCACGCTGCTTTGCATCTCGCCTCCTACCAAAAACACGTAGGAATGCAAATCGGTGACCTCAGAAGCCTGCAGAAATTGGTTCTGAATAGGCACTTCAAGGGGGAATGCCGGAAGACTTAAAGCCTGGCTTGAGAGGTGGCCCTAAGCAATGGTCGTTGACTAGCTCTCAAGCCGAACCATGCGGCTTCCTTTCAGGGATAGGGCCATTCCCAACTTTGCAACTCCCCACTTCCCGTCAGCCCATGCCACGCAAGCCAAGGCACTGTATCCTGCCACAGCTTGAAGGAGCACGCGTAGTAGGCAACGAAGACGGCGGCCACCTTGGCACTTGCATCCCGCACTTCCCTGAAAGGGGGCCCAAAAGAAGATGAATGCCTCTGAACATGACAGCATTTAAAGGGTTCCATGTTGGTTTGCAGGGGGTATCTCCGAGCATGTTGCAAACTCGCTTTGCACCTCAGACTTGCAGCCAGGAACAGTTGAAGCTTCCGTTGCAGTTGCAAGTTGGGACCCTGTACCGCCAAGTGGAGACAAGTGGGCACTTGCACAACGAGACATCAGAACAAAGCCAACCTTCTTCTCTAAGCAGCTGGCCAAACTTAGCGGGGGGTTCAAAAACCGGACCAACGCCCAACTCCCGTGCCAAGGCGCCAGGTATCTTTTCCAGGGTGCCTTTACCAGGAGCCTCACATGTGCCACGCTGCTGGGATGACGAAGTCGCATCTGCCTGAGGGCAACGCTGCGCTTGAGACGGTTTTCTGAAGAGAACTGCATAGCCCTTTGACTTGGTGACCGTTGAAAAGGAAAGCTTCTAGCCTACAGTATCTGATGATAACCTTAGTGCCACTAAACACCTCACAAACATCCAAACGACGATTTGAAGGACGTGGCATCCTAGGCAAACGGCGTGTGTGTGGGTTGGACAGATCCTGCAACCTGCACACTGGCTTTGCCGTGGTGTGATTGGAAAATCCTCATGGGTTCACAACCATTGGAGGGCGGACCGTTGCCACATCAGATGTACGTGTGCCGACTTAGGATGAACCGCCCTCTCCGCATTCAGCCCACTGCACCACGCTCCCCTGCAAAGCGGTGTTGCAAAAGAAATATTGCGGAGCTGGACATAGCTGGACAAAACCTGACAAACCAAGTACGATTCAACCAAGCGTGCGCGCTCGTGATTTCCGGTCATCCGCGCGCGGTGTCCGGTCATCCGCGCACGGTACGTGGGGGGGAGGGGGGAAGGGGGGGTGGTAAGCTTCGATGTTCACGCGAACCAACTCACGCGGGTGGGTGGATGGTAAGCGTCGGTGGGACTTGGGGGGTGGTACCGGTAATTGCTATGAATTGACACGTGTACAAATGACCAGTTGGACACGTGCACCGATGACCGCCCAACCAAGCAAATAGGCCGGGAGCCTCAGAACCGAATCAGCCGGCCTACGGCAGAGGCGCCCTGGAGGAGGCCCCGCAGATCTAAGGTTTGAGCCAGACTCTGCCGGGCAGCGCCTTGGTAACATGCCTCCAGGAGCCAACATGCGCTTATGGCCTCGAATATGGCAGCCAAAACCAGGGCTCAATTCACACTCTCATTGACAATGGATCGGTCATCCCGTTGGCATATAGGGTACGCCGCAAAGTGAAGGATCCCCATTGCAAAGGGGCAGCCTCAAATAATAAATCAGAACAAGAATAATTATATTACTCTGGGGCCTCAAGTTTTCTACTGCAACCATGGCGTACGTTCACGGAAGCCAGTCGCCCTGAATGGGACCTAAGAGCTCAAAGGGCATGAAGCGTGGCTCTAAGACGGCCAGCTTGACACCCCATGCGCGCCTCATCTTCAAACCTCGAATGACTCGAGTCCAAAGGCGTGCCCCGAGAATAAGCGGCTAGTCATTGAGCGGTCTGAAGCAAAGGCCCTCTTACACGCATTTCAAATCAGTGGAGTGGAAAACGCTGCTATCTCAGAATGTCCTTGATAGTAGCTCCGAAGTGACAACTGGGTAGAGGTAGCACCGCTACCATCATGCAGCTTGCTCTGCCATGGACCTCTTCTGAAGTCAAGAGTATGGCAATGCATGGCCACAATTAGAGGAACCCTACGATTTCAAAGGACTGATCTTGGCACACAGAAAGGCTGGAGTATCTTATCTTTTCAAAATGGAACTCAACAAAATCGGCGACGCCAGTGCTCAGCTGCTGGCCACTCGTTCCATGCTCGCCTCGCACGCAAGTCCCCAGCGTTTGTACACTGCTTGAACCCTGCTCGATGGATTCGCCTGGTCCAAAGTTGACAAAGAACATGCAACCATCTCAACCTCAAACAGAACTGGATCGGGCACATCCACTAGAGGGGATGCCGGGGGAGCAGAGATGAGGGGTAAGAAGCGGCACTAATCTGACTGTGTTGTCTCGCAAACACCAGGTGACATGGTGTCTGCCCCGCGAAGCCGCGTTCTCAGCAGCATGGCTTCCGGATTAACCTCGGCTATAGCAGCTATAGCCATGGACCCTACACAGTGAAGCTCATAGGCAGGCTGCGCACCTTGGGCGATTTCTCCAACCCTTAGAAGCCTTTGATACACAATCAAAGCATTGAGTTGCTCAAAGCCCCTCGACAACAAGTGGCGCATTGCCGACATCTCGCATCAGGAAATGGGAGTCAAGGAAATCCACCAACTAGCCGTTTGATGAGTACAGCATAGAACGTACAAGGACCTCGCGAAATGACTTGAGCGGTGCCCAAAACCCAGGGACTGTTGGGTCTACAGAGATGGCTGAAGTTTATATAGGCCTTGCTACAGCGCTTCCACGTATTCAAAATGGCCAACAGGGGCTTTAAGGGCGCTTGGAAACTGAAAAACTCAAACATCTCCTTCCGCGCCTCGGTTCTGGAGCAGTCGCTGGCCGAACCTCGGATATATGAACCTATGTGCAGGCTCACTGGTGGGGATCCCTCAAAGACAGAATTGTTTATCTGGTTGGTTTGTTGTTTGCGTTTTGGCTGCTTTAAGTTGTGGAACTCATCCTGTGCTGGTTTGTGGCTATCAAAAAACGCTGGCTTGGATTGCACACGGAGTGGTGCAAACAATCACAGTGAGAGAGACCGCAGTCGCCCGGCTGACTAATCCATAATTAATGCGACCAAGGCACTCAATGTGAAACACCACGATAGCCCATTGCCATGTCAAGTAGGTTAGGCCTACATTACACCTTTGACAAGCCCTGCTGGTGTGATAAAACGCAAACCCGGCTGCGAACTACTAAGCACAACAGGCCCCGGCCTGACATCTAACATACTCTGACATGCCAATCACCGCAGGCCCTCCGCATGTTAGGCCCCCACGTTATTTGATGCCCATGGCTCCTTGTGCTCGCTCCTGCAGGGCGCACCTTCCCCAAACGTGGAAAGCACGAGGCATCATCCCCGAGATCAGGAACTGGCATGAGTCGAATCGCTCGACCCTTGCCATAAAGAGGGAGAAATAAAACGAAACAAACAC